TAAAGAAGATGTGGTATATATACACAATGGAATATTATGCAGCCATCAAAAGGAATGAGATCTTGCCATTTGCAACGACGTGGATGGAACTGGAGGGTGTTATGCTGAGTGAAATAAGTCAATCAGAGAAAGACATGTATCACATGACCTCACTGATATGAGGAATTCTTAATCTCAGGAAACAAACTGAGTGTTACTGGAGTGGTTGGGGGTGGGAGGGATGGGATGGCTGGGTGATAGACATTGGGGAGGGTATGTGCTATGGTGAGCGCTGTGAATTGTGCAAGACTGTTGAATCACAGATCTGTACTTCTGAAACAAATAATGCAACATATTTTAAGAAAAAAGGAAAAGAAGAAGATAACAGGAGAGGAAGAAAAGGGGAGTATGTCAGAGGGGGAGACGAACCATGAGAGATGATGGACTCTGAAAAACAAACTGAGGGTTCTAGAGGGTAGGGGGGTGGGGGGATGGGTTAGCCTGGTGATGGGTATTGAGGAGGGCACGTTTTGCATGGTGCACTGTGTGTTATGAACAAACAATGAATCATGGAACACTGCATCAAAAACTAATGATGTAATATATGGTGATTAACATAACAATAAAAAAAATTAAAAAAAAATAAATAAATAAAAAATAAAAAAAATAAAAAATGGACCCAGAAGCATAAAATAAAGAAAAACATAAATTGGATTCCATCAGAATTTAAAAATGACCCAAGTATATGCTGTCTACAAAACCACACTTTAGATTCAATGACACAGGCTGAAAGAAAAAAGATGTAAAAATACATACCATGTAAGCAGTAACCTAAATAGAGCCGAGATGGCTATATACTGTATAGGATACAGTGAGACAAAAATTGTTACTAGAGACAAAATAAGGACATTTTACAATGGTAAGAAATCAATTTATCAGTAGGATATAATGACTAAATATCAATGCACCTAAGAAGAGAACCCCAGGACACCTGGGTGGCTCAGTTTGTTAAGCATCTGCCTTCAGCTTGGGTCATGATCCCGGAGTCCTGGGATTGAGTCCCATGTTGGGCTCCCTGCTCAGCAGGGAGTCTGTTTCTCCCTCTCCCTCTCCCCATTTGTGCTCTCTCTCTCAAATAAATAAAATCTTGAAAAAGAACAGAACCCCAAAATACACAAAGTGAAACTGAAAACCTGAAGAGAGAAATACACAACTCAAGAAAAATAGTTGGACATTTCAATGTTCCACTTTCAATAATGGATAGAAAATGAGGCAGAAGATCAGCAAAGAAACAGAAGACTTAAAGAATACTATAAACTACCTAGTTGTAGCAGACATCTGCAAAACACTTCAGGTCAAACAAGAGCAGAATACACATTCTTCTCAAGAGCACATAGAACATTCTTCATAGTAGACCATATGCTAGGTCATAAAACAAACCTCAATAAATTAAAAAGAATTAAAACAAAGTACCTTCTTTGACCACAATGAAATTAAATTAGAAGTCAACAACAGAAGAATGTGGGAAAGTCACAGTTATATAAAAGTTAAACATACACTTAAACAACCAATGTGTCAAAGAAGAAAATACAATGAAAATATAAAATACTTTGAGATGAATGAAAACAAACATAAAAAATACCAAAACTTATGGGGTACAGCTCTAGCAGTGCTTAAAAGGGAAATTTATAGCTATGAGTGCATGTATTAAAAAAGGAGAAAAGGGGCTCCTGAGTGGCTCAGTTGGCTAAGGATCTGACTCTTGATTTTGACTCAGGTCATGATCTCAGGGTCCTGGAATCGAGCCCCCCACATCAGGCTCCCTGCTCGGCGGGGAGCCTGCTTCTCCCTTTGCCCCTCCCCCTCTGCAACTCTCTCTCTGTGTCTCAAATAAATAAGTAAAATCTTTTAAAAAAAGAAATAAAAAGGATTATAAGAAAATACTAAGAAAAAAAGTATGCCAAAAAATAATAAGATGAAATAAATTACTAGGAAGACAGAAACTACCAAGAATACCTTCATGAAGAAATGGAAAAATCTGAACAGATCTACAACAAGTAAAGAAACTAAATTATTTCAAAAACTTCACACAAAGAAAAGCCAAGCCCAGATGGTTTCACTGGTGAGTTCTACCAAACATTTGAAGAATTAACACCAATTCTTTTCAAATTCTTTCAAAAAATAGAAGAGGAGAGAACATGTCATAATTCATTTTATGAGTACAGTATTACACTGAGACTAAAATGAGAAAGATATCACAGGAAAAGAAACTACTGACCAACATCTCTTTTTAAATATGGAGGCAAAATCCTCAATGTTAGCGAACTGAATCCAACAACATATAGAAAAGTATATACACCATGAGCAAGTGGAATTTACCTCAGGAATGCAAGGTTGGTTTAACATTCAAAAATCAAAGTAATATATCAATATTAAGATCAATGTAATATATCAATAATAAAAGACAAAAACCACATGATCATCTCAACAGACACAGAAAAATCATTTGACAAAATCCAACATCCTCTCAAGGTAAAAATACTCAATAAACTAGCAGTAGGGAGGAAATATCTTCAACCTGATAAAGGGTATCTATGAAAAATCCACAACTAACATCATGATTTACAGAAAGATGGAGAGCTTTCTCCTAAGATCATGAATAAGACAAGGATATGTACTCTTACCATATCTATTCAACTTTGTAATGGAGTTTCCAGTCAGTGCAATAATGTAAGAAAAAGAAATAAAAGGCTTCCTTATTGGAAAAGAAGAAGTAAAACTATTTCTACTTGCAGATAGGATGTTATATTTAGAAAGTTCTAAGGAATCGACTAAAAAAACTACAGAACAGATAAGCGAGTTCAGCAAGTTGGCAAGATACAAGATTGATACATAAATCCAATTTTATTTCTATAAGCTTGAATTACAGTTTTATTTCTATGAACTGTTTAAAAATGCTCTTTTTCAAGTTGAGTCAGTTCCCTATACTCCTAATTTTCTGAGAGCTTCTAATAATGCATCACCGTTTAATGGTGTCAAATGCTTTTTCTGCATCAACTGATATATATATATGATGCAGAAAGGTTGTCTCTTCAACCTGTTGTAGTGGATACCCTGAATGACTTTCGAATATTTAACCAATCTTGCACCTTCTCTCAGCACTGCTTTAGAGGGCCCACAAATTTTTGGTATGTTGAGATTTCGTTCAACACAATGTATTTCCCCCCAAGACAAGCACATCCACTCTTGTCACTTTTATTTAACACAGTATGGAGGCCAGAGCAATAATGCAAGAAAAAGAAGTGAAAGACTTTCATACTGGAAAGGAAAAAGTAAAATTATGTTTATTCAAGGATGACATATTATCTATATAGAACATCTGATTCAATCCACAAAAAACCTTATTAGGAACAGTAAGACAATTTAGCAAGGCTATGGTATACATATCAATATATAACAATTAATCACATTCTTATATAATGAGGATAAATAACAAAATTAAAATTAAAAACACATTTCCAATAGCATGGAAAAATATGAAATATTTAGGGATATATCTGGTAAAAGAGGTAAAAAGATTGAATACCAAAAACTATAAAACACTACTGAGAAAAATTAAAGAGGACCAAAAAAAATGGGGGGGGCAAGATCTGCTGCATTCATAGTTCAGAAGACTAGTTAGGGTACCAATTCTCCCCCTAATGACCAACAGAGCCATCACAATCTCAACCAAAATCCCATAAGGTGTTTTGTAGAAATTGAAAGCCAATTTTGAAACATATGGAAATGCAAAGGATCCCCTGTAGCCAAAACCCAACTGAAAAAGAAGAAAAAGTTGTCCATCTAACACTACTTAATTTTGAAGAGCAGTAATAAAAACAGTGAAGTAGGAGCTTAAAGCCAGATAAATGGAGCAATGGGACAAAAAAAAAGGTCTGAAAATATACCCACACCTCCAGGACGATTGATTTTTGACAAAGTTGCAAAAGCAAGACAAGATGAAATAAATCACTAAATAAAATAAGGCAGACAGAAGAGAGTACATACGGCTAACTCCATTTATATGAAGTTAAATCAAATGCCCCTTCAACATCTTTTCTTTGCTCCATCTCTGCGCTAACTGGGACTAATTCCAAAGACACTAATCATTTGTCCTGACTATATCAGCTGCCATCCTCCTTATGGGCAACATCTCCAACAGATACTGGCAGGACCCACAGTGCACCTCCCTTCAAGATTCAAACAGATCCTTCCAAATCTCTCCTCAGAACTAACTAATACCGCAAAAATAAAGCAGCCCTTCAAATTATCAAGTCCATAATAGAAGATTACAAGGTTCAGGGCCTCATTATCTCCTGCACTAGTCCCTGTAATATCTCTAGTTTACCTGTGAGAACACTCAGTGGCTGAGGATGAAGGGTTGTCCAGGATCCCGAGCAATAAATACCACTGCTATCCCTCAGCACCCTGCTGTTCTAACCCCATACATACTGACACCCAACCCCACTGAAACCAAATTTTTCACTGTAACTGACCTATGGAGTGCATTTTCAGTATTCTAGTAGATAAGGATAGCCAAAATCTTTTTGCTTTCACTTGGGAAGAATTAAAATCCATCTGGACAGTCATGCCCCAGGATTTCTCAGAGTCCTTCCTACTTCTCACAAACCTTAAAAGCAGATTCGGATGACAGAAGGTTTTCTGCAGGCTCTACTTTGTTCCGATATGTGGATCATCTGCTCTTCTGCTCCTCTTCTCAGACCTCTTCACAGGAAGGCAATGTTCATCTGTTAAAACTTTTGCCCTTAAAGGGACATAAAATCTCCAAAGAAAAATTGCAGTTTGTTCAAACTCAGGTTCCATACTTAGGGCCCCTGATCTCGGCACCAGGACTAGATTTGGATCCAGGGAGATTTCAAGGCATCCTGAACATCCCTAAACCTAAAACTAAGCACCAATGACGAGGTTTTCTTGGACTAGCTGACTACTGTCGAAATTGGATCCCGAACTCTCTTACGGCTCAACCTCCATATGCTTTACTGAATATGAACAAACCTGACCCTATTATTTGGAAAGATCAGGGTGACAGAGCTTTCGGGACTTTAAGGAAAAGCCTAATAAGTCCCCTGCCTTTGGACATCTTAACTATCAACCTCCCTTTCTCCTCTTTGTCTGTGAGAGGGAAGGGAATGCCCTTGGAGCGCTCACCCCACCGGGGACCATCATCAGCCAGTAGGGCATTACAGCCAACAACCAGACCCTGAATATGGCTCAGGTATATCCCCCCTGGCCTCACAGCCATTCCTGCCCCTGCCCTCTTAGTTAAGGTCACTGCAGAAACAGTCACGGGGTCCCCTCTCACCATCCTCGTATTTTGGCCAAAGGGAAAACCACAAACATTTATACAGATGGCGGGTACGTCTTCCAGTAGCTCATGACTTTGGAATATTACAGAAACAGTGAGGTTTACCTCCGATGAAGATAAAATGAAAAATGGCTCCTGTGTTCAAAATTTATTACGTCACACTTTTGTGGCTGCTCAGGCCATTACCAAGTTTCCTGGGTATTCCAGATCCGACTCCCTGGAGGCCAAAGGAAATCACCTCACTGACATTTCTGCCCCAAATGCTGCTCTCAAAGGAGGCCAATTGCCAGGCCTCTGTCAGGTCCAAAAGGATGTTCTCCCAAATGATAATTTGGAAAAACTAACCAAAGACCCCAAAAATTGGCCCCAGAAAAGGAAAAACAGTATGGAAATCTAATAATTGTTGGTTTGATAAAAAGAGAGAACTCTGGTTTGGACCAAATAACAATCTGCCCACAGAAGTTTCAGAATTCCCAGTACTTACCACTGTACATGCTTTAAACCATTGGTCTCCTGACACAGTGAAAGCATTCACGAACCAATATTGGTGGGGGAAAGGTAATAGGGCCACAGAAAGTGCTTACCTTGCATGTCCCACCTGTTCAAAGCATAGTCCGGGGAAAACTGCACTGCTCCCAGACTCTGGACTGCCTTCAGGGCCCCTCCAGTTTGGCAAATGGATCTCCTGCAGCTTCCCTATCTCAGGGATAGAAACACATTTTAGTCGTGGTCTGTATGTTTGTCATTGGACAGAAGCTTTCCCTTCTAGACAGGCCACTGCTTCTTCTGTGGCTAAAATTCTGTGAGAAAGAGAATCCCTGCCTGGGGACCCCTCTCCAACTTCACAGCGATCGGGGAACCTGATCGAAGAACGTTGTCAGGTGCTTCGACAAATCTGTGCTGTTGGGCGGGTGTTACAACACATGCACAGTGCACACCATCCTCAGTCCTCAGAGTTAGTCATGCTCACTGATGGCATCACGAAGTCTCAATTGGCAACATATATAGAGACCATAATATAATTTGGAATTGTCGTATTACTTTTTCTGTTGTGTATAATTATCTTTAAGTTTTGCATTTTTTTTTTTTTAAGTAGGCTCCATGCACAACACGGGGCTTGAACTCACAAACCTGAGATCAGGTCCTGAGATGAATTCACAAACCTGATACCAGGTCCTGACATCAAGAGTTGGGCATTCCACCAACTGAGCCATCCAGGCACCCCAAGTTTTGCATTTTATTGCCTGTTGAACTTTTGCCAAACGATGTGCCCAATAAGGTGATTCTAGCTTATGCTTCAAGATAATTTCTCACACTTACAACCTTGAGGAGACAGAGACTTTAGATGGAAAGTACCTGAGTTTCTCCCTCCTCACCTTCCTTGTTACTCAACTGTGGCCTTAAGTGTGTTCCAACTGCTAGGCAACTTCCCTCTGACGTGGGACGGGACAACCAGGAGAAGTCCTTCCTTGGCACCGAGGGACAAAACCGCTAAATACAGAAAATCTGACTCGGGACCAGCGACGCCTTTGGGGAAAGATTTTGATTGATTAAAAGAGGGAAATGAGGGGCACCTGGGTGGCTCAGTTGGTTAAGTGTCTGCCTTTGGCTCAGGGTGAATCCAGCAAGTTGACTATATAAAAAGGGCAATACATCATGATCACATGGGGTTCATTCCAACAGTGCAAGACTGATTCAATATCTGTAAATCAATCAGTGTAATTTATCATATTAATGGACTAAATGAGAAAAAGAATTGGGGCACCTGGGTGGCTCAGTTAAGTGTCTGTCTTCAGCTCAGGTCATGATCCTGGGGACCTGGGATAGAGCCCTGCGTTGGACTCCCTGTTCAGTGGGGAGCCTGCCTCTCCCCCTCCCAGTTGCTCCCCCCTGCTTGTGCTCTCTCTCGCTCTCTCTCCTGCTCTCTGTCAAATAAATAAACAAAATCTTTAAAAATAATAGAAAATTTAAAAATTGGATATTAATATATGTAGCAGAAAGTTCAACATCCATTCATGAAAAAAAAACCTCTCAAAAAACTTAGAAGGGAACTTCCTTAACCTATTAAGACTATTTTCAAAAATCACAGCTAACATCATACTAAATAGTGAGGTGTTAAGTTTTCTCCCTAAGGTCAGGCATGAGGCAAGGATGTCCTCTCTCAACACTTCTAATTCAACTTCATACTAGAAGTCCTAGCTAGTATAATCAGACAAGGAAAATAAATAAAAGGTACACAATTGGATAAAAAGAAATAAAACTGTCTTTATTCACAAACGTCTATGCAGAAAACCCCAAAGATCTACCAAATAATTCCTGTACATAATAAGTGAATATAGCAAAGTTGAAAGGTACATAATCAAGATATAAAAGTCAACTGTTTTCTTTTATACCAGCAATGAATACTTGGAATATGAATTTTAAAAAACAACACATTTATAATAGCATCCCCCAAAATGAAGTTCTTAGGTATAGAGGTAACAAAATATGTACAGGATCGGTGTTCTTGAATTGGAAGACTCCACATGGTAAAGATGTCAATTCTCCCTTAGCTTAATGCAATTCCTATTGAAATCTCAGCCAGCTTTTTGGAAACATACTTAAGCTTATTCTAACATTTATATGAACAAGTAAAGGTACTGGAACAGCCAATTCAGTTCTAGAATAGGAGATCTAAGTTGGAGGATTCATACTACCTGATTTCAAGACTTACTATAAAGCTACAGTAATGACCAGAGAGGGGCAAAATGATGGACTCATCCATCAATGGTACATAACAGAGCTTGGAAACAGACCCACAAAAACACAGTCAATTTTAAACAAAGGTACAAAGACAATTCAATAGAAAAAGAACAGCCTGTCAAGTGATGCCAGACATTGGAAGTACATATGCAAGAAACTGAACCTCGCACAAACAGTAACTCAAAATGGGTCACTGACCTATATGTAAAATGCAGACACTATGAAATTTCTAGAAGAAAACACCAGGGGAAATCTGCATGGTTTTGGGTTTGGTGATGAGTTTTAAGTACAAAGCAAAAGCAAATTTATGAAAGAAGAAACTTAAGTTGGATTTAATTAAAATGAAAACCTTGAACTCTGTGAAAGCCACTGTGAAGAGGATGAGCAGTCAGACTGGGAGAAAATATCTGCAACCCCCACGTCTGATAAAGGACATGCACCGAGCATATGCCAAGAACTTTTAAGACTGAATGAGAAGAAGACAACTCAATTTTTTTAAATTGGCTAAATGAGAGAGAGCGCAGGTGAGGGGAGAGGGCAGGAGTGGGAGGGAGAGCATGGTGGCAGGAAGACAGGTTCCAGGATAGAGAGAAAATGATTTAATGTTCGCAGGAGGACTACTACTCTTGCCCGCTCATACATTGGTTGGGTAATTAGAGATATTATAGATATCTACGTATCGTATTTTGATTTAAGAAAAAAAATGAAAAGGCCAACAGTGTGCATAAATTGTGGTTGCCGTAGTATTTTTCTTGTAGAAAAGAAATTGGTATTAATTTGAATACTTTTGAGTAAGAAATGGTTGAGTCAATTCTAGCATATATTTCTCATGGAATGCAAACCAGTTATGTTTCCACCAAGTTAGGTTTACATGTACTGAGCTGGAAAATTGACTATAATACAGTGATAAGTTAAAAAATAAAAGCAAGTTGCAGAGTGATAATTTTAGTCTAGTTACATTTATCTGTAAGAATTTTCAGAATGATAGAAAAATGCATTTGTGCATTAGAAGCATAGAGGGAAACAGGCAGCACATGGGTCAATCTGTAACATCAGTTTTAAAAGATTAATGTTTGGAGCAAAAAAGGGAGTGTCTGTCTTATTTTATTCCTGTTATACACTTCCATATTGTTTGAGCTTTACTTTGAAATTAAAAATAAAACCTTATTATATTTTTTAGTTTCTACTGAAACAAAAAAAATGGGCAAAAGATCTGAACAGATACCTCACTACAGATATACAGATGAAAATAAGCATATGAAGCGATGCTCAGTATAGGGATGCTAGTTTAAAACCACAATGATATACCATTATACATCTATTAGAATAGCAAAAAAAACAACACAAGAAAACCTAGCAATATCAAGTGCTGGTGTGGGTGGAGAGCAACAGGAACCCTCTTTCCCTGCTGGTGGGAATCAGTGCAGCACGGCATGGCGCTCAGAAGGCAGCTACAGTGAGGGATACGTGATGTCATCCATTTGTCAAAACCCCTAGAACTATTTTATAGCACAGAGAATAAACCTTAATGCAATATTTTAAAATGCAAATTAAAAAAACTGGGGAGTGGAGAGAAGGGGGATGCAGACTATGGGGACAAAAGAATTTAATTGTATTATGGGACACTTGGGTGTCTCAGTTAAGTGTCCAACTCTTGATTTCAGCTCAGGTCAATCTCAGGGTTATGGGATCGAGCCTGAGTCAGGCTCCATATGCAGCATGGAGCCTGCTTCAGATTCTCTCTCTCTCTGCCCTTCCCCTACTCACATGTGCACACGCTCTCTCTCTCTAATAAATGAATAAATCTTTAAAAAAAAGAACTTAACTGTATTACAAATGTATGACCTAAACTCATGGGGAGGATGGGAGAAAGTGACCTGAGGAAGTTTGACTGGAAAATGAAAGACGAAACAAAAGGAACTGTACACTCCCACTATAATTGGAAATTCTGTTTCTCATGGAGGTGCTAGTTAATGATTTTGATAGTGCTGTACACATATACTGGGACTGAAAAAATAAGTAAAAACATGGTGAATGGCAGAAACCAGGTTTCTCACTGCTGGGAGTGGAAGGTTACAGATAACAGTTAAATAAAGGGGAAAAGGCTAGAATAAACCATGGGGTTCTGAATTAGAGTCTGAGATTTCAGTGGGAACTCCTGTTTAGCTTAATATAGAAACTGATGAGTAAAAGTAAAAATAATAGAGATGTATGCATACACATTTCCTAGCTCTGCTCACTGACAGGACCTAACAGCAATGACACCCTAGTAGCAATGAGCACATCAGAGCAAATCCTGGGTTTTCATACCATTCTTCAGTAAAAGGATCCAGAGACCCTTGCTGAAATGGCTGATTTTAGGGCTGGAACAGGGAATATAACCAGATGAGTCTGGAGCATCCTGTAGCACCAGAAAGCAGGGAAGCGCTCAAAACAAAAACTGCTGGGAATATATCAAGGACATACAGAAACCAAATGAAAGAGCTCCCAACGGCAAAAGCTGGAACAATTTGAGCAATAAAATAGAGTGCAGTTTTCAGCTATTATCTAGTAACAGAAACCTTTGATATGCTCCACAATATAAAATTGAGTCATTGTGCAGGTATATTTTTTTTCAAAGTAGGAGGGCAGAGTATACCAGGAACATAAAAGGGACAAACTGGAGTATGTTTTAGAGGGAAGAGACCAGGATGCTTCCGGATTTGCATGAACAACAATCCGATGCAATATAATAAATATTTGAGCCCCTACTAGGTACCAACAACTATAGGGACATGGGGGAATATAAGAATAAATAACACAGTTCCTGAACTGCATGGCCTGAGGGACAGCTTAGGATGAAGTCCAGACAACTGTAACAGGCTGACTTGGGCTCAGTGTCTGGCACAAAGTGAATGATTAGT